GTGTTGTCTTATTTGAGCTGTGAAAAGTGAAATAAGGTTTTGTTTCAGCCATAGCACCTTATGGACATGAGGGAGAGGGGCAGGCGAGTTAATCCATGTTTACTGCTAAAGTGCAAAGACTTGTTAAGGCCAATAGGAAAGGTGACAGTGAAGACCTACCAAAAAAAAAGGGAAGAAAGGGGGGAGGTTAAGGGGCAGTTCAAGTAAGGTAGGTGGCCGGGAAAGGATGCAAGTTCCTGAGTATCCAGCCAAAGGGAAAAAGGACAGGGACCCCACTGGTCGGGGAAGGGTATAAAGCATCATCCATTTTGAGGAGAGGTGTGCCTCCCCAGAGAGATGCACCCAACTCAGCTGACTTGTTTATATCAATAAATACTTTTGCTTCGATGACTTTGTCCTCTCTCAATTTCATCAAGAAGTATTTTCTCGCTATTTGGGGGCTCTGGCCGTGTGGAGTGGGACGACAACAGGGGGAAGGCGCGCTGTGCTGATTTGAGCAGCCCTTCTGTCATGCAGGTGAGACCTGGACAGGGGACTCTCAAAGCAAAAGGGGAATTAGACAAGGGAGAAAGGGAAAGCATTAGAGTATAAGCACAGCAGCCAATAATATCTGTGCACAGGACCCAGGTAAGAAAAGTGACTGTTGAGTATTACCTGGGCAGCTGGGAGGAGCAGGACTGGGTGCATGTGACTGAGATGCAGAATTGCCCATGAAGCAAGAGTGGAGTCCTTTTAACTGTGGTTCTGTTATTCTGTGAGGAAAACAGCCAGTGATGGAATGAAGTGAGATGGTTCTAAAAGAGTCCTGTGGGAGTTCAAGAGATGGGAAATGGTAGGAAGAAAAAGAAGAGGGGAGAGTAGCCTAAAAATTCCACAGTTGGGAGAAGGAATTATACAAATATGTATTTCATTCATAGTTTATTGTATTATTCTTTCATGTATTATCCGTTATTTCTAATGTGGTTAACATTTGGTGCATTGCAGTAGCTTTTCATATATGGTTACGTTTTCCCTTTATGGTTATGATTGGAATGCTCCGCTTTAACTCCTCCTTTTGTTCTAGCAGCTTCCCTACCCTACCTTATTTAAGGTGGGAGCCATGGTGTTGGGGGCTTGCTTTGCCTAGAATCCTTTGCTTGTTCAGTTCAGTTCCTTTTCAATAAAGCCTTCTTGCCTTTTCACCCACAAAGTTGTGGATTTGGCTTTCTCCTTGCGCCTTCCCACACTCCACTCCAAGCATACCTCATGACAGTCCTTTTGGGACGATGCTTAGAGACCAGGGACAAGAGGGAATGTCTTATACACAGAGGAAAGACAAAAAGAAAATGATACAGTATTGTATGTTTGAATGGACTAAAGAACCTATTAGACCTGACCCATTATATTGGCCAAAGTATGGGCCATCAGAGGATTGGATTTTTCAGGCTCTAAAGTTGTATGTGAATGCTCAGAGACCTTTTAACCAAGAGAAGAGTGATATTGCTTCATACTGGATGCCTATTTTTGATATAGAGAAAGGTCAAGCCACGGTACAGCACCTGGGGCTGAGAGTAGAGGGGTCAGAGCTCCCAGTAGTGGCAGGTGCCCAGAAAGGCTTTGGGGACATGCTGGCTGCCCCCAGTCCCCTGCTCCCCTCCCAGCCACACCTGCTGAGCTCCCTTTCCTCCCACCAGTCCATGGTTCCAACAACCATGTTCTCCCTGGCTCTGCTGCCCATCCTGCCCAAGTTGCAGCACTGTGACCAGACCCACACAGACACAGACAAGTGGATGCCTCAGAAAAGTCATGCCATAACAGAACCCTGAAAACAACGGCTTGTCATTTATTTTGTTTTGCTCTGAAAGCCAATAAACATTGTAACCAGCAACTACTAAAGCAATGCAAGGAATGCTTACAACAATTTGTTTCAACATGCTCCAGTCTAGAGAACACAAGACTCTATCTGTCACTAGAAGACCTTTCCAGGCACACATGGCACGAGGATTAATTAATTGCCTCTAGAGGCACTTTGCTCACAGCATCTCCCTGACAGAGAATTCCAGATAATTTCTTTTAAATAAATATAGCTTGGAATATATTGAAGTGCTGGACACTTGAAAGTTGTAAACCAGCTGGATCTAAGCACAGCAAAAAATTCTGATAGTATCTCGATGTGTTTGTCTTCACCATGGCTAGGCTTCGCAAACGAAGATTTGAGAATGGATTGTAGTGAATGCACAGATTTATTCTCCATCAGGATACAATTTCAAGGTATAATATTGCCACATTCTCAGTTGTTTTCTAAGGAGGCTTGAAACTGCTGCCAAGGGTGGGGGCATTTTTTTGTCACTGGACTAATATGAAGTTTCTGAAATGTCAACAAATAATGCTCACCTAAAAGCTTCACTTTTTGGTCCTCACTTATGTTCCCTCTCAATTTTTGTTCCTCTAATGTTAAATTTCAATGTGAAATTCAAAACAAAGAAAAAATTCCTGGAGAAAATGCTTCACATTCACACTATGCAAAGCTACTTGGATTTGCTGAGTTTTCTGTACTATTTCACATACATTTGGTGCAAGTATCTGTCATGCCGTAATTATCAGCCTTAATTATTTTAACTGAGACACAGTTCAAATTCCCATAATTAGAAACATATAAAGGTGTGATAGGTGATAAAGAGCAAAAGGCATAATGTGATCATTGCGTCTCTTAGAACGCTTCCATCAGCGCTGCCTCCGTACAATCCTTAACATCCACTGGACTGACTATGTGACCAACACGTCTGTCCTTGAACAGGCAGCAGTCACGAGCATTGAGGCCATGCTGCTGAGAACTCAGCTGCGCTGGGCAGGGCACGTCTCCAGGATGCAGGACCATTGCCTCCCTAAGATCGTGCTTTATGGGGAACTTGCCACTGGCTGCCGCAAGAGAGGAGGCCCAAAGAGGAGATACAAGGACTGCCTGAAACAATCCCTCGGCCTTGGCCATATTGATCACCACCATTGGTCTACCCTGGCCTCCAATCAGGAGGCCTGGAGACACACCATCTATAACACTGCTGCTGCTTTTGAGAACACACGCAGGATCACTCTTGAGGAGAAAAGACAACGCAGAAAGAATCGCGTCTTGTTGATATCACCTGGGGAGTCTTTCTGTTGTGCCTTCTGCAACCGGACTTGTCTATCTCGCATTGGCCTTTTTAGCCATCAGCGCGCTTGTAGCAAGCGTGGGTAGAGCCCCTCTCAAATCTTCGTTCGCGAAGCCTAGCCATGATGAATTAAATAAGTTACAATAAGCCTAGCAAGAGTTTTGCTGGAGTCATGAATCAGACAGTCACAAAAAGGGAAACCACAGTGTTGTAATTGTTAAATGGTTAACTACATGATTGTTATGAATTTGTATGTCTTGTTATTCTTCAAGTGTTTGTTCTAAGCATGCTTATAGGGAAGGAAAATAGAAGGAAACAGCAAAAACCAAAGGAGAGGACTTACCCCCCCCATCTGGAAACTTCCACACAGCAGTCTCTGAGGACTATAGTCTAACCAAATCATTGGTTGAACCCAGCTGGCGGGATGGAGCTCGCGAAACAAGGACCAATATCGAGGGAGCCCACGAAATGGAACCCAATAAAGAAATCAAGAGACTTAAGGGGTGGAGACAAAAGGGGGGTATAAAAGATGGACCGTTGGTTTGTCACGGTGCAGACCGTTGGTGGAACAAGGGTTTCCTCCGGTCGCCCAGCATGCTGTTTTGCTTACCTGCCTTCAATAAATTTCTTTTACATTTTTTAAATTATCTCTAGTCTATTGACTATAACAAAGGGGCCCTGGTGTCTTGTCAAGGCTGCAAGATTCAAGAGGACTATTTAATTCTCCTCCTTCCCCCCTTGCCATAGCCAGGGAAGGAAAACAAAGAAGCTCTTTGTGTCAATGGTGCTGATGGTGCCCAGATGGCAAGGAAGGCCTATGGCATCTGGCCTTTATGGGGAATAGTGTGGCAGCAGGACCAGGACCATCCCCCTGTGCTGGGCGCTGCTGAAGCACTTCCAGTCCCGGGGCAGTTCCGGGACCCCCAATTCAGGGGAGACATTGAGGGGCTGGAGTGTGTCCAGGCAAGGGAAGGGAGCTGGGGAAGGGTCTGCAGTACCAGGAGCGGCTGAGGGAGCTGGCAGGGGCTCAGCCTGGAGAAAAGCAGGCTCAGGGGAACCTTCTCGCTCTCTGCCAATCTCTGATAAGAGATTATGGCCAGGTGGTGCCAGACTCTGCTCCCAGAAACAAGACACTGGACCCAGGGGACAAAGCCTCAAGCTGCACCAGAAGAGATTTAGGTTGGAAATCAGCAGCAATATCTTCTCAGACAGGATGATTAAATATGGGATGATTAAAAATGGGCTGGCCAGGGAAAGAGGGGAGTCCTCGTCCCTGAAGATCTCTAAGGATTAAACACTGGACGTCTTTAATAGTCTGGACCACTCAGTGCCGTAGTCCACCTGACCAGATCAAGGATATCAGAGCTTTCTGCCAACCTGATTCCGTGGATTATGTGACCACAAATACTTTTAACTGAACTACACTTTAAATCTCTCTAAATAGAAATCTAGATAGGGTGCCTCGAAATTCTTCAAGGCTGCGAGGCTTAACCGCATCAAGCAATTTGCTCTTCAAGACCGCCCCTCCTCCTCACCGCCAACGTGGCACTGAGGGCGTCCCGCCCGCGCCGCCATTTTATGCATGGGCAGCGAACTCTGCGGTGGGTGCCGGGGGGGGGAGGGGCGAACTCCCCTGCGTGGGGCCGATGGACTCGTCGGTGCCGCGGAGCCGCTGCAGACGTGGCAAGGCGGAGCGGGGGCTGCTGGGAGTTGTAGTTCCCGGCGGCGCCGGGGACATTCCTTCATCCCCGGGACGGGAAAGGCCGCGAAGGTTTATTAAGGCTCGGAAGCGGAAGGAGGCGTCGTGTTGTGGGCCGTCGAGGCAGCCGGCGGGGAGGAGCGGGCGGAGGGCTGGGCCGGGCCGGGCCGGGCGGTGACGGTGGCCGCGCCGGCTGCGGGAGGTGTGGGGGGTGCGGGGCTCCTTCCTCGTGTCCTGGCCCGGCGCGTCGTTCCAGCGGCTCCTGCGCTCCCCGTGCGGACACCGCCGTGCTCCGAGGCGAGGTGAGGGTCGGGGAGAATTCCCGGCGGGATTGTCCCAGTGCTTCTTTGGGTGCCGTGTGTTGACCTGCCCCTGCCTCCCACCGAGCTTTCTCAGGGCTCTCGGGGTGTGTGGGCCCTCAGGGCTGTACTTCCAGCGAGGAATGGGTGTGTGTTCGTCCTGCTAAACCCCCTGTGGTTTCATCCCGAATTTGCCTGACTGGCAGTGGGAATCCTCGCCCTTAGGAATCCCTTTATGTCGTATAGTAGTGGAGGTTCAGGAGACTTATTATTTCCTACAGCGTCGCTGGAAGCGAGTATTTGCCCTTTTTTATGATTGTTTTTATTGTCCCATTAAAAAACATTATTTTTTTTGTGGAGGGAAACACCTCTGAAAGTGTTGCATCGCATCCCATGATACCCGTGCCCTGAATATGATGGCAGTGTGTGTGTGATTGGTGCAGATTGCTGGGATGTATAGGGTTTGTTTGGCAGTTCTTTGATGGTATGGTGTTATCTGATGGTGTTACCTAGTTGTTCAGGGATTCTCCCACTGTGCTCATCTGTAGTTTATGAGCTTTTTGATACTTAAATATTTGGTAAGAGGGGTCGGGGGGATGGACTGGGGCAAACCTGGAGGGTTGGCAGTGGTACAGAGAATATGTGAAAAAAAAATTAATTCTAATTCCGATAATTCCAAAAAGGTTAGGAAGCTTTTAGGCCTGCAAGAGTGACAGGGCAAGGCCAACCCTTATTGTCGCACCACGTATTTCCAGCTGTCTTGGTCTGTGTTAGGTTTCAGGTACACTGGGTTCTGACTGGTGAACAGACTTCTTTGCATGTATGGGTGTTTTTTGTTTGTTGGTTGGTTTTGGTTTTTGTTGTTTTTTTAAAGGTGAAAAGGTAATGAAAGTGTTGTGATTAACATTATGCTATGAGTATAGAATCATAGGATGGTTTGGGTTGGAAAGGACCTCAAAGAGCATCCAGTTCTACCCCCTACCATGGGCAGGGACACCTTCCACTATCCCAGGTTGCCCTAGCCAAATCTTGGACACTTGCAGGGATGGGACAGCCACAGCTTCTCTGGTCAACCTCTGCCAGAGCCTCACCACCCTCACAGGGAAGAACGCCATCCTAATATTTGATCTAACCTTCTTTCAGTTTGAATATTTTTCACTATCTGCTGATAAATACATCAGATTCTGCATTAAACTGTGTTGCAAAACAGTATGTAATCAATAAATTCCACAATTATTTTTTCTTGTGATTTTCTAGCTCTTGGCAAGCTGTGAAGTGCCATCGTTAACTTGGACAAAGCTCAATTTAAACAGAGCCTCAAAATAAAGAGTACACAGCAGTGTTTACCTGGTGCAATCAGCTCCATTATCAGCTGGAGAAAAGTTGACTTAGCTTCAGTTCTCTACTATAAAGCATTAATCAGGAAAGCTTAAGTTACGTGGCACTGCTGCTGAGACCGCCTCAGTTACAAGTCAAGGGATCAGCTCACACACAGGTGCATTGTGACAGCTATAAAGACTTCAAATACTCAGAATATATACAACAGGTATAGAGAGTTCTGGGGATTTGGTTTGGTTTTTTTTTTTAAATTTGTTTTGTCCCTCTCTTTAAGGCTTTGGACTTTGGAACAAGTCATTTAACATGAGGTGATTAAACCAATGATCCCTCTATGCCTTTCCTTTGGTTTGGTGAGACTTGGTGTGCCCTCAGCAATCTTTCTCTGTTCTGCTGACCAGAGGCTGAAAGAAAATGTATCCCTGACTTTGTGCTCACCCTTTCTAAAGTAGAAAAAACAACCTAAGGGATTTTGTGGGTGAAACTTAACATACTCACAATTCTTGCTCTGTTTTGGTTTGATTTTTTATAAGAGAGTTGTTGTTTGTGTGATGTCAGCTTGACTCCCTCGCTGACAGCTGAAGGTGCATCATTTGTTTTTTTGTGAGGAGTTTTTGTTAGCAGGAGCACCTACTGAAGTAGAGGAAAGGGTTAATTAAGGATGACTGAAAATACAGCCTCATTAAAAATTCTCAGGTATGGTTGATTTCTAGATACTGTACTTTTATCCATATGAAATTTGCTAATCCCCAATTGTAAGTAATGTTATCATTAGCTGTGAATTTCTGCATTTTAGAGTAATAACCTGAAGAATGCTTTTGAAGTGTGGTTATGTCATGAAGATTATTGCAAAATATTAGCAGAAATGTAATTACTTCCTATTAAACTAAAGTGAAAAGATGAATAATTTGCCAGTGAAGCCTGGTCTCTAAATCAAATTATTTCATTCCTGCTTTTTAACATGAGCCCTGTCAAGATTTTCAGTCAGAGCTGTACTCTCATTTTCTGTTGAGTACACAAAGGCCTTGCCTTTCAGGAATTAGGTTAATGGCTGAAATTTGGTTTTAGGTTAATGCATGAGGTTCAGGTGGTGAAAATCAGTAAAAGTAGTTAATGACAGATAGAAGTTTGGATTTATTTTCTTTGTGTTATGTGGGGGTTTAACATCATCTCTGTAATGTCTTCATTAGTACCGAAGGGGTTACTCTTTTAACCAAATAATTGATCAAAGCCTAACAAAATTCATGCTTCTACTTCTTAAAGGGATTGTTTTAAGGATGATTGGAAATGTGAGTTTTCTGTATTTCTCTCTCTCGTGTCCCTTCTTTTTTACTGCCATGTAAGCATAACGTAAGATCTTCTCCTGCCAAAACGTGGTGAGACGGTTAAATTTGTGAAATCAATTTATCATCACAAATCACTAGATGGCAGTACTGATGTTATTTTCACCTAATTCCACGTGCTTCACTGTGCCTGTTCTCCGGATTTCTCCTTTGCAGGTTTGCAAGGAGGGACAAAAGTCACTTCCTTCAGAAGTTAGGCTGAGTTTTCTTGTTTTCAGGTCCTACTTGTTGAAAATCTTGTGTCTGTGGCTTGAGTTATGAGGAATTATTACTATTACTTCTATTTTTTCTCCAAATCACTAAAAGAGAGTTCCAGTTATATCTGTTTTCTACTTTGCTTTTACATATTCCCAAGTCATGTTGTGTTGGTTTTTTTTTTTAATTATTTACCTTTTTTTCATGCAGCACGTGCAAACTACAACTGACTTAAGCTGAGAAATCAGTATATAGAAAGCTGTTATTTGTGCAGGCTTGTTATTAGTCAAGGCTTAACTTAAGTCAACTCCATGTGATTATTTTTTATCATATTTTATCATCTGACATTATTTCTGCACATTTGGGATTACTGATTCTGTTCTTCACCTTTCTCATTGCTAAGGTAATTGTGAAAAGCAACTACAGAATAATTTACATTTCTGCTAATTCCTGATTTTTCATATGTGACTCAGCTGACTTCTCGTGGGTTCCCCCTTGTCTCCCACCCCTGCCCAACCAGTGTAATAACTTTCTGAAGCTTTACAGCATCTTTGCGCAGAGCTGCTTTGTGGAACTTTTTCAGTCGTTCTGCATGTTCGCAGAATTTATTTTAAGTGGGAAGCACCTCTCAGCAGTTTTTAATCATGGCATTAGGTGTAATCTAACAGCAGATTAGAAGAGCCTTGATAAAATGTTTCTGGGTTTTGGTCAGTGATTCTTTTAATTGCACAGTGGAAAATTCTTCCTTGCTTTGCAGTGTCTAATTGGAAAAGAATGACTTCAGAAATACCTCTGTGTGCAGGAATGTAAACTTCTGTAGATTGATTAAAATAAAGAAACTTAATATTGCAAGTTCTTCCACTTGGTGAAGTTTAATGAAAGACTTTGCTGTTCCTTTTGAATTGGTGGTGAGATGTAGTCATTCTTCAAGGACAGTCTGTTTCCCGCCAAACAATTATTGACCCTTTCATCCCATGTGAAAAAAAAGGCGTAAAGTGAATTAGAGATCCTCAGTACCTAAAATCCATCCATCATAAGAATTTTCATTAAGTGCTGCACATAAGCCATGTTTACTTTTTTTCTGAGGCTGGTCTCAAGCTTTGAATCTTAAATCACTTAATTTGAATTATACTGGTTTGTCAGAGGGACTGTAGTTTCTCCTGTGTGCTTTTGATGCTTTCATTTGGTTTTGGAACTCTTTGAGCACCTGTCAAGGCTGACATTGACATCCTGCTTTCTAGATTTTTCAATATGGTAATAACAGTAACTTTTCTTCCATACTAGAGTAGGAGTTGTATATACATTTAAAACAACAATGAGGTATTGAGGGACTTTTTGTTTTGTTTTTGTAAAGAGAGGAAACCGCTTGTATTTTTGTAAGTGGAATTCTTTTTTATATGTATATGAGTATTTTTATTCAACATGTTATCTAAGCCTTTTCCTCTGTAAATTAAAGGGAATAAGCTATCAGTCCTCAGTAGCCACTGATTTAATGGATATGGTGGAAAATGTTTCAGCCTATTTTTCATATATATAATTCCTTTATACAGGATTTTTATTTCATTAAAACTTCCTTAAGAACTGCTGCTTCAGGGAGCGGTGCAAATCATCGCTGTCTAGTTTACCAGACTCATGAGGAAGCCGGGTTTTGATAAGCTGTCTCTGCCCTGAAAAATAAAAATCACCTTGTATTCATGAAAATCTTAATTTTGCATCTCTCCTTTTCTTCTAAGGCCATGTACTTTAATTTAGGGTTGTTAAGTAAAGCATATAACTCTGCTTTTCTAGAAGTAATGTATTTTAAAGGTTTACTGTGTTAAAAGATGCTTCCAATGTAAACTGGCCTTCACAATAAAACCCAAAGCTTTCAATTAACTTTCACTTCTGATAACATCACCAGGGAAGGGTGGTATTTAGATTTTACAGGAATAGGCTGTACTGGAAAACTTGTTCAGTATAACTTAATGTCACTGTCATTTTATTCACACTGGAAGTAGCAGGTCCTGGTCTGGGTTACTACAGCTCAACAATGCAGCAAAATACTACCCTATAGTTAAGTTTTTCCTGGTTTTTATGATGTGTCATTATTTTTTTGTTTTTACTCTTACAAGTACTACCGGTATATGTTGGAAGCAGTAGCTGGGCATGCACAGTAAGGTTTTTAGAAAGAGGCCTGCAGTTTGGGACAGTATCACAATCTTAAAAATAAAGGGAAAATACAGGAGAAATGAGACAGGATGGATAATTGTATCCTTGAGATAAGTCAGGGTTTTTTTTGCAGAGTTGGTATTTGAGTTACTTGATAAGTTCATGGATGTAAATAACTGTGTTGTGGCCTTTGCATTCTAATTTAAAATCTTTCCCCTTTTTTCTCAAGATACTTTTGTTTTTTCTATCACAGCTTTGTGTAGCTGAAGGAAAATGATGGAAGAGAGTGGAATAGAGACAACTCCACCTGGCACACCCCCACCAAGCTCAGCAGGGGCTGATGCTGCTACAACACCTGTGTCATTAGGTACAGAAATGTTTATTCGTGTCTCTTGAACCACTGCAATTAATACAAAAACATTGCAATCAGCATAATTACAGTTCTCTTCTCCAGGCTACTTGGAAGAATTTAAATTGTTTTTTAATCATGGAAGTGTGCTCCTTCTCATACATGCATTTGACACAGAGAATATTTTAAACGTTTTCTAATTCTTGAAACTATTTTATGAAATCACTTGTGTTTTTTAAGGATACAGGGCCAGGGAAATAATACCTTCCACTACAGTGCACAGTTAGATGAGCAGGATAGTAGGGAATTAAAAATGAAACAGATTTACAGTCCTGTAGAGGATAGCGGTAAAACTGGATAATCATTTGGATTTTAATATTCATAGAATCGCAGATTGGTTTGGATTGGAAAGGACCTTAAAGGCCATCTTGGAATGGGCAGAGACACGTTCCATCGGACTAGGTTGCTCCAAGCCCCGTCCAACCTGGCCTTGAATGCTTCCAGGGATGGGGCAGTCACAGCTTCTCTGGGCAACCTGTGCTGGGACCTCACCACCCTCACAGGGAAGAATTTCTTCCTAATATCTGACCTAAACCTGCCCTCATTCAGTTTATAGTCATCACCCTTTGCCCTATCACTACATGCCCATGTCAGAAGTCCTTCTCCAGCCTTGTTTGGGTTCTGGAAGATGCTATAAGGTCTCCCTTATTGTGGCTGGTAGTCAAAGCATTTTATCAGATTTTTCAAGATTCTGAACACCATATTTGAATACCAGATACTTAATTTTTTGGCACATCTGGTGTTGTTGAGTTAGACTGGTGCAGCGGATCCCAGGCAATTAATTGGGGTGTGGGAAGGAAACGCTAGAACTCTTCCCTCTTTTCCTATCACTATCTGCCCATGTAAAAAGTCACTCTCCCTCTTTTTTATAAGCCCCCCCCTCAAGTAATGAAAGGCTCCTATAAAGTCTTCCCAGAGCCTTCTCTTTTCCAGGCTGAACAGCTCCAACTCTCTCGGACCGTCTCTACAGGAGACTAAAATGGATTTGTCAGCAAACCCTGTTAGAAGATGCATAGAAAACATTGGTGAAGACTTAAAGGAACAAGTATTAGAACAAATTAGAATTGGAACAATTAGAACAAATTCCTAGTGTGTCTCAGTTCTGTTTCAAAATATACAAATAATGTACTGTCAAACACTAAAGGAGGAATATGCTGAGAAAAATCTACCCTCAACAGTAAGACTACGATAATAAAAGCAGTGTTTTTATTAAAATTGTGGAATTCTAACCTCTAACGGAGAAGTTGCTTTTAACTAAGATAATGTGTCCTGGAGTGAGGTTGCAGAGATACCATCAAACATGAAACATATTCACTGCCTCCATTCATAGGGAAGCCATTGCAAAGAAGCTGGAGCCAGGAGTGCACAGAGTGTTATAGGATGTCACCAATGTCATTAATTTTATAGAAATGGTCTTTAAGTAGTAGATTTTTTTTACAGTATTTTGTAATGAGATGGCGGGAGACCATGAAATAATTTTTTGTGTTTCACAATTTGCTGGTCACCATTGGCAAGGTGTTGTAGAGGAGTTGTTGAACTCAGTGTTGACATGAACTTTTTTTTTTACAAAAAGAAGAGTGTTCCAGATTTGCTGATGCTTTCTGTGATGACAAGGGGTTTTCAGCAGTGTGCTACCTAGCAGATATTAGAAAAAAAAAATACACTCGTAATTTGTCCTTTCAAAATAAAGGTGACATTTTAACAAGGAATGATACAGGAGCTGCTTTTGTAAGAAAGTCATGCTTGTGAGAAAGCATTTTGAAAACTGGTATTTGTAAACATTTCCATCATTATACATTCCTGTTTCCAAAACTAGTGCAAGTGTTGCATAAAATCTGTCATGTCTGTACACTTAAACTTGGAAGGAGAATTTCCTGACCTGTGTAAACATCTTCCAAACAGTTTCAGTAGGATTTGAACCCACTTGTTAAATACATGAAAATTCAGCATGTTTATTTTGCAAAAAAACAGTTGATTGACATCAGGGAAGGTGAAAATTTTTTTCTGTCTGCATTTCAGTGAAAACCTGTGCATGATTGATGGTTGGGAGTGGAAAATTAAATAGTAAGATACACCAAACACAGCCAATGATGCACTTCTTCCGTTTTGATCAGTGTGAGGTATCTTCTCCAGCCATGGTGGCTCTTAAAGCCAAGTATCAAAATAGTCTGAACACAGAACCAGACCTTCAAGTTGCTGCATCATGAGGTGTTAAACCAATAGGTAAAAACTGAGATTTCTTCAGTGGCACTGCTCACACTAAAAAGCTACTATCAGTAATTGTCTTATATAGTATGTTAATAATTATTCATTTACTGTATTGAGAATATATTAATAAAAGAATTTTTAATGGAAGCAGAAAAGTTTTTGTACTGTTAAAAAAATTGTTTTCATCCATCTTCATCTCACCTTTTTTACATTTTTGTAAATACAATTTTTTTATGTTTATAACATATTAGTGCAGTGATATATGTAAATAAATTTTCATAGGCAAGTTCTCAAAATTTTTTTACTGTTTGTGGTAAAGTGTGGAGATTTGCTGACTGTGATTGATGTTTAAGCTGAGGCCATTAAGATGCTTAAGCTGATCCAACATCTTACTGCTATCAAAAATGATAATTTCTGCTCTTCTGCCTTAGTTTATTCTGGAAGATGAGAGTGTCCTGTGTTGTTGATTAGGCAGTCACTCAGAAAGAACAGTACTAGCTAGAAATTTGGGGCAGATTACAGCTGCTCTAAATTAATTTTTTGAAGCTTGTGACAAATAGGGTCATGCAAGAAAAATAGATGTGTCTTACAAAGATTCTGTCAGCAAAGGTTGAGTGAACTGGTGGTGTATGAAAACTCAAGCAAGACTAAAATTAACATTTTGACTAGGTCAAAATTTACTAGTGAAATATCTGAACAATTATATAACTGAAGGCTTAGCATTTCTAAATTTTTTTTTTTTCCCACAGCTTTGTCCAGTCCCCTTTCTAAACCAGGCGTGTCCTCTTCTCCTGCATATTCACCACCCTTGCCAGCTGGATCATCTTCAGTTCCTCCTCCTCTTCCTTCCGCTCTGATGACTTCGTCTTCTCTCCCACCTGTGCCTCCTGCAACGGTTTCTTCTCTTGCACCATCTCAAGGTCCTGCCCTACCTCTTGCTTCCCCTTTAACCTCTAGTACCTCTGTGTCCCAGTTCTTTGGTCCTTCTGCATTAAGCTCTACTGCTGGCGCTGGCCTTCCTGCACCTCCCACTGGTCCCCCCATTTCAGGATTTTCCATGTCTTCAGCCTATGATATCACCAGGGGTCATGCTGGTCGAGCACCACAGAGCCCACTGATGCCATCATTTTCTGCACCTCCAGTCACAGGTAACTCTCCGTTTATGATTTCTCATTTGTGAGGCAGGATGAGTGGTATCCTGGGTGGCTTTTTTTACATCCTCTGCAACTTCAGCTTCTTAATTGTTATAGGTATTCTTAATTAGCATAGTAGCACTCAGAAGAAGGGATAATAGCATTTAAAATACAGTCATGGTCCAGGACAGCGAGTCCATTTTAATGGTGTTCTGGTAGTGTTCAGGTTCACAGAAAAATCTTCGAGAACTTTATTTTTTGTTAACTTGCACAGGAAAGCCTTGCTGAACATACATACATACATAGCTTTTGTCTAGCACAGAGAGAACCACCTTCACCTGTTTTATTTCCCCAGAATGGTATATCTCAGGTGCAGTTCCATAACATTCAGGGTTTTGTTCTCAAAATCTATCTACAACAAGCTGTCCATTGTATGACGCCAGTCTTTTCTATTGTTTCTAGTCACTAAATTGCATTAGGACAGCTGAAAACACGTACCTTCCATGAAAACAGTTGGTGTGGTTGCTAAACTGATGTCATTTTAAGCTAGTGGAGTGGCATGGAAACTTCGTTGTCAGCTGCATTTAGGCAGGCTTTTACTGTTAATGGTGATACCTCTTTTAAGTAGTCTGTATCAAGAAAATGTCTAAAAAGAGCTATCAGTTGTGCAGTGTAAAATAAAAATAACTACTGATTAAGGCTGGTTAAAACTGGCAAAGGCTCACGCGTTATTTTTCTACTCTATTTTATTTTGCTTTCCTTTGAAATATGTAAAGCTTCCTCCTTTTTCTACTGGTACTAATTGCCACCACTCAGTGTTAGAAAATTTCCTACTTCTCTTATTGTATGAGAACATTTCTATCTCTTTGTTTAGGAAGTAACACCTATTACTCTCTTTGTTCTATGGAGGGTTTATTATGCAAATTTGAAAACAATGAAAATAACTTTTAAATTAAACAATGATTTTTTTTTTTGTCTTATCAAGTTAGCTTTGTACATAATGTACAGCAGTCTCAGTTCTTTTAGCAGATATTGTTGAAGTAATTTTTAACAAGCAGAATTGTTCTGGGACCTTCAAGAAGTGAAGTGAATCAGCCCAGTATTCTTCTGTTCTTCCTGCAGTTTTCCTGTCAAACAATTACACATTGCTACAATATAACAAATTAACTGCAGTAAAATAAGCGAACACTTGTGTTTTATTTGTCCACCTTACTAGGTGTTTTAGATGATCCCATCTCTCAACAAACAACTTTCTCATCATCTTTGTCTCCTGGGAGTGGCTCTGCAATCACTTTTCCTGAGGAGCATGAAGACCCCAGAGTATCTACTGCCCATGGTGGAGCACCTGCTGGAGGGCTGTGGGGGTTTATAAAGGTATGGGGCTTTGTCTGTTACCTTCATGAGGAATTACCATTTTCTACTGAGTATAATAAAACGTCTTTTTTTTTAAATACGTGTTGGTACAAATCCTGTCTATTTTCCAGTCTCATGTACAAGGTGGCTGTTTTTAGTACTGATGTTTGCTGAAACTATGCTTTTGCTCTTCCTCTGTATAGAAGCAAAGGGATTAGACAAATGGCAGATGTTCTAGGTTAATTTTAGTCCTGTGGTAGAAACATACACATATGTATCAGGTTCTGTCACATGTTCTTAAGTCAGATGAAGTTTTAGAACCTCTGTAAGACGTGAAAAGTAATTTTTACTTCACAATAACTGGATGCAGAAGGTGGTGTTTTACCTCGCCTGAATGCTTTGCATATCACATTTATAACTTCCTAATTAACTGAGTTTGATCTCTATGGGATGCAACCCATGCTTGTTCTATAACATATAACATATTCTGTAACAGGTCTTTTTTCAAAGATGGGCAAACTACATATTTTCTCAATCACAAGTGTCTAAGATACTTTGTAAGATTATTCTGCTAGAAGTTTAGCTGCATTGTGGTTCACAGTATGATGGTAAATTCATGTTTTGCATTGGTATAAAAGTGTGGATTATTTCTTCCTGTTTGTGTTCAGCAGATGAACACATTAAGGCATCTTCCATAGGTAGAAGCTGCTCAGGAACCATCTGTATAATGACTGTTCTAGTTAGGCAGCCAGGTTGCTAATTGGAGAAGCACTGCTTGGCTTTGCAAGACAATGGGGCTGTTTCTTCATTAAGGCAGAAGGTAATATTTAAACTTCATGTTGTAACTGAAAAGCTGTGATAGTCATATCACACAGTGTTTGTGCTGAGTTATGACATACAACAAGCCATTACAAAGTGTAATGGTTAGAAACACACAAAGCAGCTTGGTAGTTTTTGTTTATTTCTTTTTAACTGTAACATTTTTCATTGCGGGAGGCGGGGAGAAAACAGAATATAATATGGAAATGTATTTGCTTAAATTTAGGGTGTAGCTGAGAATCCCATGGTGAAGTCTGTTCTTGATAAAACCAAATATTCAGTGGAGACCATGATCACAACACTGGATCCTGGCATGGTTCCCTATATCAGTAAGTGTTTATGACAAACCATTGGGTATTGCATATAAGTGCTGGAGAAGTCAATATAATAGTACACTACTTTTCTACTTGAAATGTAAAAGCATTTCAATTGCATCTTGAAAATGAACAGGTGGTATTCACCATTTTTTTATTTTACTGGATTCCATTGCATCTCACATATAAGCTGACCTGAGATTTCTGCTTTGTTGAAATGGGGAAGCAAGGGGCATTCATTTATACAGGGTGATGGTGTGGTTTTTGTTTTTCTTGGCATGGCTTTTTTTTCCTTCTAGTAGTCTGATAAACAGTCCTTCTCCTTAGGTGTACAGCTCTGGGTCTGCCTATAAATGAAGCTGGTCAGGAAACCGCCAAGACTGAGAAGAAACCATTAAAATGATTTTAAAAAAAAAAAAAGTGTTGGTTTTCTGAGCTGTTTTTTTTTCAGCTGGGCCTAATCTATAACCCAGTGATTACATTGCTGCAGTGCAAAGCTGCAGTGCAAAGCTGCAGTGCAAAGCTGCAGTGCAAAGCTGCAGTGCAAAGCTGCAGTAAATGTTGCTTAAATACAGTTTGGCAAACTGTATTTAAAGTTTCTACTGCAGTCATGACTATCCCTTTGTAATGTGTCAGTATCCTGTGTAGTTTGACACAGTATTTCTTGACAGATCAACTTTATTTAGAGGACAAATTATTTCTAAGAAAATGCTTTGCTTGTAAGATTCAGGTCTAGTAAGCTAATTCAGTAGTTATCTCAAAGTTCTTTAAAGTCCTGTTGGAAGGAAAAGCATCTGTATACATCTTGGACAACTTGGATATTTATCTGCTGCATTGTTTTTGTAGTTGCAGTTGTGGAAATAGGGCAGAGATTCCTATGTACTTCCTTGTAGAAATGTATTCTGGCATCAACAAAAACCATGTCCCCAACAACAAATGGTCCCAACTTCTCTCTGCTCTCTCTCTGTTACTGTAGTGCCAAAGAAATGTCATCTTCCTCATGCCAAAACCTGAAATTACCAAAACGTTTGGATGAGGTGGTTGAAGTTATTTTTTTTTTTCCATCCAAGCAAATAGTATTTCTGTAGTCTCTTTCTTGAAAAGAGCTGAACGGTTTTCACTGGCACATTGTGAAGACGTCATTTGAGCCGTGCACCTGGAATAGACAATTTCTGTCTGCTTAGGAGATAGTCACCTTGTAAGCATAAACATCAATGTTTTATAACAAAAGATGTCAGGAAATCTTAAATTGAATGTGTAAATGTCATTTCAATTTATAATACACAGTGAAATTTCACAAGCAAGTGTCAGAGCTTTACTTGATATGACAATTCTGTCCCTGATTTTACCAGGGTGTACCTAGTTCTTATATTTTAGATTTTAATATTTCCATATTATCCTAATGTGTGGCAGGTGTTACCACAAATGTTTTCATTTAATGCATGTAATATCTTTCTTCCACTTTTGTAGTAGTATCTGTGATGAACAAAGATATGCTTTTGCTATTTGATAATCCTCAGTACAAAAGAACATATTCTGTATTCTCCATCTAAAAATGGGGCACAGTTACCATTCTTAGTGTTGTTATGCAGTAATTTACTAGATCTTTTATGGATTAGTTTTTAGCTACATTAAAAGCTCTTTAACAGTATTTCTGTTCCTGGGCACTCAAACAAGGCTAACTTCAGTAAATACCTGCAGTCATTTTTAAGCATTTGTTTAATTATATCAAATTCATTTTTATCCTGAAGGAATCCATGAAAAAATATACTCTCAACTATTTTTTAATCCTGTAGTTACCCAGTGTTTAAAACAATTGCCCAAAGTTCAGTGATGTGTACATTCACTTCCATTCAGTAAAGCAATTGATAAATAAAAAGTTAAAAAATTACCCCCAAAAAACCCAAATGGTATGTTTTACTACTATTCTGGCATATCTCTGGTGATTCTTCATAAAAATAAGATGATTCCTGTAACTGAGGTCTGCTGAGTAATATGAACCAAGGAGTAGTAAATTGTTGTTTTCTTTGAAATTTAAGCTTTGCATTTACCATTGTCAGTGGGGGAAATTTTGCTGTGATAGGCAGACGTGAGGTATGATTGAGCTCATCAGTCTTTTGTACTAGTTTTTAATTTCTTTTAATTCTTGAATTGTTTTGTTTTATTGTAAAAAAGCTTAGTGAAAACTCCTGCTTCTTTATGGAGATATCCCCTGTTGGAAAACATTTAGAACTGTGTACAAGTTTTTGGTTCTATAGATATTTAATATCAAAAAACAGGATAAAGTGTTAGGGAGGAAGACAACCCATAAAATTATACTGAAGTTTATGCTCCAAGGACAACTAAAAAGTAATATGAGCCTTTCTTTTGCAAATGATGTAATTTGATAGCTGTTCTGGATTTTATGACCTGCGTCTGTGTTTGTCATTCCTTTCATAAGGAAGAGTTTGTGTGTGACACCAGCATTCCTTACTGCTTCCCAGAACACCAACACATGCTTAGAAATGGATGCTATTTTCCTGAATCTCCATAAATTGTCATCTTATATGGGTGCTGTGGTTTCTTTCAGATACTGAACAACTTTCAGTTCCTGTTGTCTCTCTTTCATCTGTGCTTCACTTACCTGTTCATCCAACTTTTACTTCCTAACCTAAGTTACTTCTGCTTCATGAAATAGCTACTGTGCATTGCATGAGAAAGAGGAGAGCAGCTGAAGAATACTGTTGAGATGGAGAATGTATTTGACCTGTAACAGTGGGAATGGGGAAAAATACATGCACATGTGTATTTTACGGATTACAAAATTATTTTACAGGAACTGGGGGAGAACTGGACATAGTAGTCACTTCTAAGAAAGAGGTAAAAGTGACAGCAATACGGGATGCCTTTCAAGAAGTCTTTGGAATGGCTGTTGTTACTGGAGAGGCTGCACAGTCTAACATTGCACCCCAACCTGTGGGCTATGCTGCAGGTTTAAAAGTAAGTTGATTTTTAACAGTACCCAAGTACCACCAACACAGAGATTCACGCAGAGGAATAGATAAAGTGGAAGTTAGGTTGGGGGATAGGTGAACATTTTCTTCTGTGGTTTGTTGTTGGTTTTGTTTTGTTTTAGGGTTTTGGTGGTTTTTTTTGTTTGGTTGGTTGGTGTTTGTTTGTTTGTGGTTTTGGCGTGTGTGTTTGTTTGTTTTGTTGTTGTTTTGAGAGGGCTTCGAGTTCTGTTGGTTTGGGTTTTTTTCCCATCTGAATCATCAGACCAGGGTAGAGCTGTTTGTTGAAAGGTTTTCTGGTTTTTTGCAAAGACATTCACAGCAAGTTAAGATTATTTATGTCAGTTTTCTTACAGTGTCATTGGTTGCCATCGCATCTTGTGTGCATTGTGATATTTCTGTAGTTTAAAAGTACATCAGGCATTTTTGAATAGTCTGTTACTACCAAATCATGTTGGGAATGTTAGAAATTAGAAGATTCTTTGAGACTGAATTGCCTCCCTGATAATTCTGTAGATCAAAGATAGTTTGATCAACACTTGGCAGGGATCATCCCAAACAGATCTATGTTCTATTTGAAAAGTAATTCACTGTGTGGCTTTGCAGGCTGCTGTGCTGCCCCATATGAAGGGTTAGCAAGGGTTTGGCCAACAGCTAAAAATCTTGAAAACAGCTATCTAGCACTGTGTTTATTAAATGTTAGCAAAAACTCATGAAAAAGGAAGTATTTTCCTGTGACTGTGTTCATGTTTGCAGCAGAGTAAAGCCTGTTCTCACAGCAGTATATTAGCTGATACAGTTGTATATGGAGGTAAAGCAGAATAATGTATATGTTCCTTTACTTCTTTAGCTACTGTAGTGTAGTGGTAGTTATATTTCTATTACAACTTCAGAGTGATAATCGTTTTCAAGTGAATGGTTCCTACTTATTAGTTGGATATGTACCACAACAAATTGATTCTTTGCCTTGGTCTTACAGAGTTACTCCAAAGCACTCAAAAACTCTAAACCCAAGAAATTTTAAGTCACAAAACTGTCAGTGTGAGTATCAGAAATATGCTGATGCTTTCACTAATAGCAAAACTTGGCACAGTTACTGCTTAGGAATTCTTTGCTTGCTGCTCTGGACTTTTTCTTGGAAAACAAAAAACTAAAAATACTTGATTTGTTTTATCATAGTGTTTATTACTGTTTGGGATTCCATTATGGCTTTTCATGGGTTGGATTTGGTTGGTTGTTTTTCCCTAACACTGAAATAAGAGTAATTTTCAAAATCTCTCTTATTTTTTGTTTAACTTGAAAAGTATGTTCCAGAGTTCTTCTGGAATTAATCTAAACATTGTACTGTGTTGTGGTTCAAAGAGAGTGTTGTCTAACAGCTCATGTCACCATTCAGGGAGCACAGGAAAGGATAGACAGCTTGCGTCGGACAGGAGTCATCCATGAGAAACAGCCTGTTGTATCCGTGGAAAACTTCATTGAGGAATTGCTTCCTGACAAGTGAGAACATCAAATATATTCCTGGGGAGTCAAGAATATTCTTTGTTGACTCAAAGGAGTTGGTGACAGTATCACCCTGAGCAGAGGAAAGGAGATGGTCTATCTTCACTGTTACTTCGGCAGATTTTATTTTGGTGATGATGATCAGCTCTTTGTCCGGAAATCTTGAAACTTTTAATATAAAAAAATCATTGTCAGGTTTTTCCAGATTCACAGTATAAAAACACAGTGAAGTTATACCGAACTCAGAAAATTAAGGAGCTACGAAAGCTGGAATTTGGCTATGGTTTGTGCACTCCTGTGTGCATGCTATCTTCTCTTTTTCCTGAAATTGTATCAGAAGGGATATTGGGAGATACTCTGGAAGGGGCAAAAGTGTTTTTCTGAATAAATCATTTAAGAGGTTGTTATAGCATTAGACATGCCAAAAACTCTTCTGAATAGAGAACATGAGTGATAAATATTTTCTTAATTGTTAGGGAAGGTTATTTTAATGAGAAAGATTAAATGAAAATTGCAGCATAATAACTATTGCTAAAGGAGTGTCTCTGCATGCACACCCAACTCCTCAGATTTCTTTGTGTCTTCCATTTGTAATTTTCATATATTTTATATATATTTCTGTGTATATTATGTATTTTACATATATACACATGCACTATAATGTTATATATGAGAAAACTGATATATGCAAATTTTACTTGAAAAATACCAGAACACTTTGAGTCTCATTATTACATTATTACTGCATTTGTAGTCAATTTTGTGAAATTGTCATAATTCAACTGCTAATCTGTTGGTTTTCAATTGAGTGATACTCAGTACTCAGAAATAAAGTAATATGCATGTCATTGCAGGTGGTTTGACATTGGATGTCTGATTATTGAGGATCCAGTTCATGGAATTCACCTGGAAGCATTCACCCAAGCAACACCAGTGCCTTTGCAATATGTTCAGCAGGTGAGTTTTCAGTTTTCTTACCAATTAACAGTAAGATTTAAGTTTTTATTTTATTTATGATGTCAGTTCTTACTGGCAGTTGCTCCACTTGAATGTTTTCATTTATGAAATGAGGATAAAAAAACTGTTTTTGATTCATGTTAATGTATTACCTAAAAATCTTCAGGCATTTATGGCAAAGCATTTCTTCATCAAGGGTCTCATTCTGTGTCACTTTGGAGCACTAGTTTTACTTTCCTATTAAAAAAGAAGAAATACTGACCAAGAAGAAATTAACCACAGAGAATTACTTTCTCTAAAAGGAAATACAAAAATTCCCTATGAGCATATAGACTCCCACCTAAAAGGCAAGGCTGATTTCCTCTTCTGAGTTTGCTATTGTGACAAGGATGTAAAATTTCTGAAATCAAAAGGCTTCAATCTAGGAAATATGGTTCATCCCATTGAAAATAATGTACAGCTCTTAAATATCCCCCGTGGAAGGTTTTCATGAGATGGTTTACATTTATTTGGACACAGGTTGGGATTTATTCCGGTCACTGCATGTCTCCTGACAGCAGATATGAGTCATACATTAATTAACTCTGGTCTGTAAATTTGTTTTAAATAAACGTTTCTGTGAAGAATGTAAAACCAGACTGTTTGGGGTTTGATCCTTAGGGTTTGTTTTCAGAAAACAAATAGTAACTACTATTTTTTTTCAGTAATACCCATTTCAGTAAGAGAGCATTTGTGGGATTGGTTTTAATTCTTATTTTCCTGAGTTCTTGCAACCTTTAAAAGCTGATGAGTGGCAAAATGAGAAATATTGCTCTGTCTCTGTAGTTTTCCAAAATGCTTTTCAGAAACAGTGGAGAAAGACATGAAGCTGTAGGAAAAAATGTGCAAGGGTCCCTTTCAAACCCAAAGTGTTCTGCATATTTTGACAATCCTGTGTTGTTGTAGTTGCACGACAGTAGTTTTAAGAAGGGCAGTGTACATGCACTAGAAACGGACTAATTCAAAATCTGTATGAAGGAGGTGGTTGCCTGTGATGAGCGTAAGACCAGAGGAGTGCGGTGATGTTTCCCCTACTGTTTCCCTTCTGGTTCCACCCTGCAGAATGAGGGGTACAGGTGTCATTCTGTTTACCTGGACTTCTTGACACAGTCCCCCACTCAGAATTGGAGATGGATTCAATGGATGGACTGTTTAGTGGATAAGGAATTGATTGGACAGTCACATCGAGAGGGTCACGGTCAGTGGCTCAGAGTCCTGATGGACATGGATGACCAGTGGTGCCCTCAGGGGTCTGTAGAATTATAGAATCATAGAATAGATTGGGTTGGAAAAGACCTCCAAGATCATCAAGTCCAACCCCTGATCCAACTCCAATTACTATATCATGGCACTAAGGGTCACATCCAATCTCTTTTTAAAAACCTCCAGGGATGGTGAATCCACCACCTCTCTGGGTAGGCCGTTCCAATGCCTGATTACCCTCTCTGTAAAGAATTTCTTCCTAACATCTAACCTAAACCTCCCCTGGCAGAACTTGAGCCCATGTCCCCTTGTCCTGTTGTTGGTTGCCTGTGTTGGTACCAGCGTGGTTTAACATCTTCATTAATGACACAGATGAAGGGACTGAGGGCTCCCTGAGCAGATTTGCAGGTGACACCAAACTGAGGATGCATTGACACACCTGAAGGACAGGGTCATCCAGAGGGACCTGGACAAGCTCCAGAAGTGGCCCCTGAGAGGTTTAACAAGGCCAAGGGCTGGTGCTGCACCAGGGTTGGGGCACCCCCAGGATCTATCCAGGCTGGGGATGAGCAGATGGAGTAGCCCCAGGGAGAAAAACTTAGGGCTGCTGTGGGGGTGAGGCTGGACATGGCCCAGCACAGAAACCCCCATACCTTGGGCTGATCCCACAGTGGAGGCAGCAGGGCAGGGGTGATTCTGCCCCTCTGCCCCCTCAGGGGAGACCCCACCTGCAGAGCTGCCTCCAACCCTGGGGCCCAGCACAGCAAGGACATGGAGCTACTGGAGCGAGTCCAGAGGAGATAGCAAGGTGATCAGAGGGATGGAGCAGCTCTGCTGTGAGGAAAGGCTGGGAGAGTTGGAATTGTTCAGCCTAGAGAAGAGAAGCTTTAGGGTGACCTAATTGTGGCCTTCCAGGGGACTACAAGAAACATGGAGAGAGACTATTTACAAGAGCCTGGGTTGACAGAACAGGAAGGAATGGTTTCACACTGACAGAATGTTTAGCTTAGATACTAGGAAGAAATTGTTACCTGTGAGGGTGGTGAGGCCCTGGCACAGGTTGCCCAGAGAAGCTGTGACTGCCCCCTCCCTGGAAGTGTTCAAGGCCAGGTTGGATGGGGCTTGGAGCAACCTGGTCTGGTGGAAGGTGTCCCTGCCCATGGCAGGAGGCTTGGAACTACATGAGCTTTAAGGTCTCTTCCAATGCAAACCATTCTACAATTCTGTGAAATGACTCTATGTAATCCCTTTGTGATCTCATGGAAATCTCTCAGCCCTTCTTTTCTACCAGGCTCAGCTTTCTCCTTGCATTTGGCTATTTGCCTGCTTTAGAGGGACATTTTAACTGTTTTTAAAGCCTTTGGAGTGTATATATTGCATAAATACATACTATTATTGATTCCATCTGTTGGCTACTTTGTAAGAGAAAACTACCTTCTGATAACAGCAGTATGTCTTTACTCTCAAGCTTTATATTTTAGTTTATACTTTTCAGATGTTGTTTGGATCATGATACAAAGAAATCCAGATAATTTGCTTGGCAAACTATGGGCAGTCTGAAATCTGATTCTGATACCCTTTAATTTGCCATGTAAGTCTGTTGATCTAAGAATGTTCACTTGTGGAAGTTGGTGAAAATAGAAGTAAAACTACTAATTTCAGACTCTCTCAGTAATCCCTTCTCAAAATGTTCCACAGGCCAAGAGTCTCACTCCTCAGGACTATAATCTAAGATGGTCAGGCTTGTTGGTGACCGTGGGCGAGGTGCTGGAGAAGAGTGTCATGAATGTGAACAGGACGGACTGGCACTTGGTGTTCACGGGCATGTCCCGCAAGCAGATGATCTACAGCGCGGCCAAGGCCCTGGCAGGGATGTACAAACAGCAGCTGCCACCCATGAGCGTGTGAGAGGGGCTGGTCTGTCACACCAAGGAGTACTGGGCTTGGTTCTGGAGTTGATGTGAAGGCTACACGCTTTTAATTCTCAGTGGATGCAACATGGATTTGTAATCTTAACTCTAAACTGTTTCTACTTTTGAAGAAGCAAAGGTGATTTCCAGTAGTGGAAGTGAGCAATTGCGGTTTTTAGCTATTAGATGATTTCCAGTATGATTCACAAAGCAGGAAATTGAGACAAATGTATATTTATGACTGGTACAAGTAGCATTACAATTTTTTAAGTGGAACATGCTATGATTTGACACATTAGTAGGCATTTGCTGAGATGCTTTAGTTAGTATACTTTTGAAAGGGGATATCTGTTTAGGTATTTCTATTATATTAATAATATAAACATGTTGACAGCAAAACACGTATGTTATATAGGTGCATTTCAATCCAGAGATACTACCTTCTGTATTACATGTTTTAGTGGGGCACATATTTAGGGGATACTTAACACCTCATGGGTTTGGTGTCTGTATATAGTTCTCAGGAGTGATGCCAAGTAGTTTCTACAGCACATAACAGTGAGGTGCTGAAGAGCACAAATCCATGCCCTGCTAGCTGAAGTCTTTGCTAAATAATTCTGAATTCTCATTTTCTGTGCTGCATCTTTTTTTCTTTTTTTATGTAACAGTAATGAAATTCGTGGCCACAGAAAAATTTTGAGTTGCTTCAGTGAGTTTTAGATCAGGTACTGCATATGCCACATGAAATCATCTCAGCAGTTTCAATAACATCATTTACTCCAGTGCTTCCAAACTTCACATTTTATATGGAATTACATAATTTCTCTTATCTAGTTACAACTGTCAGCAATTTGATTATGGAAAGTGGTGATGTGTGTATCACTTGCTTTGCTAGCCTGGGTTTTCTAAACACTCTGAAGTCTTAAATGCTTTCTTGATGTCATGAGCTCACTGTTTCTCATACAAGTTTTTGGTGGCATCTGATGTTTCTTGTGTCTGTAAAGGCCCTCTATCAATGCTCATGCAGTCTTAAAATCTGTATTTAGAAATATGGAAGTAATTGTGAAGAAAATATTTTGGTAATAACACTTTTTTAAAAAATGAAGAATAAACACTTTCTGTTTGCCTTAAGCAGGTTTTCAGCTTATATTGCTCTGCCTTTACCTTTATTAGATGCTTTCAAAGAACATTTTTATATACCATATACTTGTAAGTCAGCTCATGTTTGTACCCAGTGAAAGTCTATTTCCAAGTAATATATTTGACCTTAATTGGTTTACTCTGTAAAGTAGTTGAATAAATGTTTTCAGCTTTCTACCATCTGCTGGGTCATGTTGTGGGCAATAACAGAAGAGGAATTTCAACAGGTAAGACACTGACATCCTGTTTTAAATTTATATTGAGATCAGCTTAGAAAAGCAGAGACACATTTGGACATGTGACTTTTATTACATGTACTGACAATTCCCAGCTGCTTCATCACTGTAGATACAGCTGCAGAAGCCATTTCTGCTACTTTATGAAGGGGTAGGTTTGTTCGAATATGACTGTCATGAAAAAAGGATCGAGATACACTGTTATACTACCATTTTTTTAAGTGTGTCTCACATAGATGCAGCCAAGTTTTTTGAGTTTGCATTACTTTAAAAGAGATCTACTTGGTCCTTAAACTAAGGTTCTTCAAAATGTTGGAGATGGTTCATTAACTGCACTTGTTGCTGGTTTTTTGTACACTTAAAGTAATGGTTCTTTAAGTCCCCTGTGCATTGCACAATGGCGGGGTTTTAATTGTTGTTGTGGGAAAGGAGCAGAGTAGTGATAAATTTAGGCTGAACTTCACAAGGTATGTATAGGCTGATGAGAGATGGGTGAGCCTTCAGAAATATTAGCACAAGGGTTTTGTATATAGGAAGAATACTGGATTTTTATTGTTTTCTGAGGCTTAAAAATAATTTCAGGACTATGTATATACACTTACATGTATAAGTACTTTGTAGAACAAACACACTGACACGCCCTCTCTGCTTGATTTGATACATGAATTTTAGGAATGGTGTCACAAGCAGGGATTTTGAAGGAGACTGTGACTGGGTTATTGTTAGAGAAAAGCTGAAAATTTAAGTGTGCAGGAACTGTTTTGCATTTTTCTCTAGACTTCGTTTGCACATTCTGATCAGCTTTTTCATTTAGAAAGTGCAGTTATCCCAGTTCTTAGGCTATGCCCTTAGAGACAGACTTTGCAAACAGCTGTAGTGGCCTAAGGTGTTACAGCCACAAGCCCTGTCAATGGAGGTTTCTGCCCCTGAAGATTTTCTTGTAGAATTAGCTCTCAGTACTAATTATGAGCTGAAGTTACCTGTGACTGCTCTCCCACTTTTGTTTTAGCAGCAGCAAAGCTGAGTTAAAAAGTTTCTACTCTGGGCCTGGCCTTAGGTTTTTCATCACAACACTACGCAGAACATTGCAGCTCTGTCAGAAAAATCCTGGTTATGAAGTTCTCCACACAATTTTGTTGAAACTAGTCTGATAACTTACACCCAGCTGCCCCTCTCAAGGTTTGCCATGCACATCTGTTGAAGTAGGGATGGGGCATGTGGGGTCTGATGAAACAGCAAATACAGTTTGGTGGAACATCTTGGTCCAAAACCAAAACAGCCTCAGTGGCTGCTCATGTACTTTGCAGAGTGTTCTCCTTTAATGAAAAACTTTTAAAATTGCCTTCCAAGTCGTCTTCTTTAGACCATCTCAGTTTGGTCAAGATAGTGAGGAATGACAGAAGAGGGCAAAGAAAAGAATGAAGTATGAAAGGATGTGAAGGCAATCAGGAGAGTACCAGAGAAGTAGGAATGTCTAGTGAGCAGTGGAGGAAAATGTATAGGAGCTTAATTGTGTTTAATGCAATGTCCTGGATGCAGAAACTGGTAGAGGCTAGTTGAGAAATCAGGTGGGAATATGGAATAACTTGGGTCTGTCCGCTGCTGTTTATTTTGTCTGGCTTTAGAAGAGCACAAACACATACATGCATATCTTGCAGCACAGAGTTTGAGCCCAATTGTGATTCAGATTATTAAGGCTATTTGTAAAAGCAGCCTTTCTTTTCCCTTAATAGTATAATGTGAGGTAAACCTTGCAGATGGAAGTAAGACATTATCCCTAAACAGTGTTGACTCTGAAACAGAACTCTATGTGTCTGTTTTACAATTATATTTAATAATTTTGACCAAGCAAATTTAAAAAAAGAAAAAAAGCTTGTTCTTCATTTCCTACTGTTAACAGACACAGGAACAAGTATTAAATGAGAACATTCTGTTTCCCATCAAAAGTTGTTAATAGACTTGAAAACCAGAATAGAATTGCTTCAAACTTGGTTATTTTTCCGATGTGGATTTTAAACTTCAACAGTTAAGTCTGTCTGTAACTCAAGAACTCAGATTTTGACATCCTGAGTCTCTGAGCTTTTTGGCTTTCACTTCATGGCTCTGTTCCATCCATAGTTACACAATTCAGGAAAAGCAATTTGCATAAAAGCAATGGTGTATAGAGTTACAGTTTCTAAAAGGAAAAAAATTCCAATTGGTTTGATTTATCATCTCATTGTGCAGAATTCTGTCAAAGCTTCAGACGCTCCAGCCAGCTGATTTTGTAAAGCAGCCAGACTATTATGACCTGGCAGTTAAATTGTGAATACACAGTCTTGCAGAGGATTAACAGATCCAAAATCACTCAACAGCTTCTTCTGAGCTAACAGAGTGACTTTTCATGTACTGGAATCAAAGGAGATGCAGCTCTAAGGTTACAAGCAAAATTAAAATATTTGGTGTTGGGAAAGTGATTTCCAGCTATCTTTGCGTTCTACAAGTGTGAGTGAATACAGCAGTGGCTTTCTCTGTAAATTAGGGAAGTATCTCATAGTAGAGGAGAAGGCAGATTTAGAAAGAATTCCCAAACAGACCAGTTATCCTGCAATCAGTGCTGGTCTTGGGATGTTGCTGTGGGATTGAGTGAGTACAGTTATACGCATGCAAGGCTGATTCTAGGGGTTTTGATAAAATGCATTTAAAAAATCAACAGACTTGTGTCTGCAGGAGAAAGAACAGGAGAATTTTTCTTTTTAACGTAATGGGAGTTACTTTAATCAATAATCACAGTGTTACATGGCTCTTTTTGTCCTCAGAATATTTGCAAAAAAGCTCATCCCAATACTTAGAAGGTTGTAAGCATTATAATGAAAGCATTTTAAGTACTCTGTCCCGTGTAGATGCAGACTTTTCTATCTGAAGGGCTTCTTTTCTTGGACATTGCAGCTTGGTAATACCAGACACGCAAAACCTGGTCTTAAATTGGTAAATATAAGAAATTAAAATTATTGCTAGGGATAAGATACTTGGGTTTTATCTTTTCTGGAGTTCTGCAGCTCCTATGAATCTCTGAGGGGAGATTCTCTTATCACCAGTCACAGCCAACTTAAGTGAGCACCTCTGAACCACTGTAAACTTGAGTGTGAGCTTGTAATTTCTTCCTGTTTTCTGATTTCTTAAATGCAAGGAAGACAACAAAAGCCGATTCTGCAGTTGCCAGGCTGACTAAAAGTGGATTTTGAAGCTTGTTTCTCATTCCCATTGGCTCTATGATAATCTGTCCGTGGTGTGAGCAGCACCTTTGCCATAGGAAGGTATAGAAGACCTAGAAAATGAAGTGTGTAGCACAAAACTGAAGAGGGAAAGGATCATAGAATTATCATAGAATTAACTGGGTTGGAAGAGACCTCTGAGACCATCAAGTCCAACCCTTAATCTAACCCCATTGTGATTACCAGATCATGGCACTCAGTGCCACATCCAACCGCATCTTAAAAACCTCCAGGGATGGTGAATCCATCCAGTCTGGGCAGGCCATTCCAATGCCTGATCACTCTCTCTGTAAAGAACTTCTTTCTAATATCCAACCTAAACCTCCCCTGGCAGAGCTTAAACCCGTGCCCTCTTGTCCTACTGCTGGTTGCCTGGGAGAAGAGACTGACCCCCAAGGATGTTGCCTTTTCTTATATTTTTTTCTCGTGGTAAAGTTTCTCCCGATGTGAATGGGAAAGTTTTATCATTCTGCCCGCAAAAGACTTTTGTAACATTTTTGAATGATCTGTTTAATTTGTTCTGCTAATCTGTTTCCTCTTGCTGCAGATTGTTTATATTACCTATACACAGTTTGCTCTCTGTCTTCTTGATGCAGAAGCCCATCTCTTCCATTTTTGTTGAATTAAACATGTCTGGTTTTAGTCAAACTATCAGTTCTTTGCTAGTTTAAATCTGTTGTTTTATTAACACAAGTGGAAACATAGCAATTCATGCAGGCTGATGAGGTAGCTCCATGTTTTCATGATTTTGATTTAATTTCACTTAGAGACAGCAGGTTGTAAGGGGCATTTTCTGAGTTCTGCAGAACTGGAAAATACCAAACCGTTGCTCTCATACACTTAATTAAACAGGAAAAAAACACGTTTCTTTGCAGTTTGTTTTGACTTGAGTTGTGGCAAAACAAACAAACTGTGTTTGAATCCACATATTTAAAAAAGTTTAA